CTTCTCCATGTTGAAAAATTTATAGCCTTACCGTAAGATATGAAATGTTGATGCAGGATTGGCTGCGGGATTGTATTCAGGTCTCACATATGGCCTAAAGGAGGCTCGAGGAGTTCATGATTGGGTAAATCTTCTCAAACATATCCCTTTGTCTCCTTGCTTTTAGTGTAAAGCATGATCTTAGCATTCATTAAAAGAATCACAGCTGATTAATGATGTTTGGTGCAGAAAAACAGTGCAGTAGCAGGAGCACTCACAGGGGCCACACTTGCGCTTACATCGGAAAACTCCTCCCACGAGAAGATCGTGCAAACTGCAATCACCGGAGCCGCCGTCTCCACCGCCGCCAATCTCCTCTCTTGGATCTTCTAACTGTGACTGGCTTTTACGTTAGGTCATCTTGTTCCATCCCTTTATTACCCATATAACACCCCAAAAAAAAAGCCTCCCCCTCTTGTGTATATGTTGTTCATGTTTTAGATGAAGTTGTAAGGTTTCCTTTTGGATTTTGTAATCACCATTAATGACTTTCTCATCAGAGGCTTTGCAATTCTCGTTTTATTGAAAGTTCTTTCTTTCATATAACTCCCAAGTTAAAAATTTTAAAAAAGGTCATAAGTGATCACTTATTATGGCTGATCTTTGTTCGGTACTTATAGCCTTTCGGCGCCGACGATGATTGATGATCTAGCAATTAAAAAGAAAACAAGAGAGGTCTCTGTAACTTTAATAGAACAAACTTATAAGGTCACATAGCGGCATTTGTGCTTTGTCTATCTTGCACCTGTAAATATACACGAATCAAAATTCTTTTTATACCAGTACGATAACCGAATCCGTGTGCTAGACTCACCTAATTGTTTATCCCGATTATTTTTCATTCTCAACTCTGCAAGGTGTTCAACTTGTCTGATGCCCAAGCATGTGAGCGAAAATTCTCAAAGAATCGCACAGATAATTATTCAGCTTTGAGTTCACGCTAGTAGTTTGGTAGATGGATAAAATAGATACATGTACAGCTTATAAGGAAATAACGTTGCCGTTTCAAAGAGGTTCCAGACAAGTTATAGAAGAGCCAGAAACAGAGGCCGTATGAGTTGGCTGGGTAAGACCAGACAAGTTGCTGTTATGGAGGTTGACGATGACGACGATGATCTATTTGGGACCAACGAGGAGGACGAGGATTTCAATCTCTTCGATAACAAATCCAAGCCCAAGAGCCCCATTGCATCAAAATTCAATGAAACTAAGAGCATCTCAGAAGCATCACCGCCAGCAACAACACTCCCACGGAGCTACCCTGCAAATCCTGCTCTCAAGTCGGCAGTAACAGGCGTGTTTGGCAACAGTGGAAAGCAAGACATCAATGGCATCACCAATCAAGGAGGATTGGTTCAAGGTGTTCTTAACGGAAGTATCCTTTCGGGTCATCACAATTCTATTACTGTGTATCATTGTTGTTAGGCTGTATCCCTCTATATTAGTACACTTCCGTTTATGAGTCTAATATTGGACCCTCTTCAACCGTACTTCTGTTATGATTTACCGTACCTGATGATCTGGTTTTTTATTCAATAAAGTTCTGATCCTCGGTTACATATCACCCTTTGTAAACAGAGGAAACAAGCAGCATTCTGGCTCATTATTCTTCTTTCACCGATTCCTCGTCTTGCATCTTTCAGTAGATCACTTTATAATGATGGATAATTTTTTGATCAATAGAAATACTGGACATGCATATCTAGTATAAATTCCAAAAAAGCTATTATTCAGAGCTGGTTTCTAGTAACGCCGTCGGCAAGAACACCTAATAAACTTGTTATATTCCTGCTGTTCAAGCATCCCAACTCTCTGAAAATGATTTTTTTTTTCCAAGCATCAACTGACCATTAACCAAGTTGAGAGAATTCGTTCCCGTGTTGTGATCTTTGTACTTTATCTCTCCTTCTCACAACCAGAAACGACGAGTTCCATGGCTCCTAAAGCGGTAAGAAGGGGAAGTTCGACCTATGATAGACTAAATATGCCTGAGTTATTTAATTTCGCTCTAGTTACCACGTCTAAAGGACTAAAGGGAAAGATAAGATCGAAAGACACGTGGGACATGTAGACTGTTTAGCGAGTTTCATTCAAGGCTTATGTGAAAGACATGTCAGTCGGTATCTTGTACTTGAGCTGTCTTATCTTCTGTCTTCCGTGAGCTTTGCTCTGCTTGTTTTTAACACGGTTTCTAGTCTAAAAGGTACCGGATGCCTAGGCGCGTGAGTTAAGAATTTCTCAATCAAAGAATCCGAAGGGATGGATAATCCAGCTTTTAGTTTACGCTAACGTTAAGAGACAGTTTTTAAGGAATTGATTTTGTGAAGACCAGCATCTGAATCCGATAAAGGAAGTTCCCGGAACAGAGAGTCCATGTGAGGTGTCCGTGTAAGAACAGACAAACTGCTACGGTGGAGGCTGACGACGACGACGACGACGACTATGGATTTGGGACAGGCGAGGACGACGAGGATTTCAACCTCTTCGATAACAAACCCAATTCCAAGAAACCCATCACATCAAAATTGAATAAAGCTAATAGTATCTTAGAAGCATCACCACCAGCAACGCCGTGCCAGAACCACCATCCTAATTCGGGAACTCCTGTTCCCATGTCGGCAGCGACAGTGGTGTTCGCCAACGCTGGGAACCAAAACGACAATGTCATCACCAATCAAGGAGGACATGTTCACGGTGTTCTTAATGGAAGTGTCCTTGCGGGGCATCATAATTCCTTTTTTTTTGGGATATCTACGGGACATCATAATTCTATTAACGTGTATCATGGTCGTTAGGCTGTATCCCTGCATATTATTGCACTTGGGTTTATGCGTCTAACACATTCCTGAACTGTCCTGTTATGACTTGCTTTTGATTCAATAGACTAGTTCTGATCCTGGGTTTTGTGTCAGAATACTATCCTTCAATTGAGACACTTGGAAGGAATTATTATCCTATACCTATCTGTTCTCTGTGTTAGACTAGACTCAATTAAGTCGATTGAATCGTACAGTTGAGGCTTCTGGATGATGTACTTGATGATTTTCAGCGTTAAACCATACATGCTAGTAGAAAATGATACTCGTACTTTGATGCGCAGATTCCTTGTGCATTTAGCAGAATAGGCCAGCTTTTATGAACAGAGGAAACAAGCAGCATTGAATTTCAAGCTCATTTTCCTTTTACAGATTCAACTTTTTGCGTAATCTGGAATTAAATAGGTTAGGTTGATGGCTTGACAATGACGGATAATGTTATTGATCAATAGAAATACAGCTCGTGATTCTTCAGAGCTGGTTTCTGTTAAGGACAAGACAACTAGTATACTCATTATCTTCTCTTCAATCATCCTCCCCATCATGCTAAATCTCTGGATATGAAAATTTTTATTTTAAATGACCATTAAGGCGAGAGAATCCATTTCTCTATGTTTTGATCTTTCTCATTCTTTGCTCTTTCTCACAGAACCAGTAACGAACAGAGTTACATGGCTTCGGGAGCACTATGAAGGGCAAGTTTGACGATATGGCAACCTAAACATGTCTAAATAGCCATCCGATTTTCTGTGGTTACAGTGTGTAGTATAAATAACTTCTGTCACAATATTTTTAGTGATCTTCTCAAAAATTGGACATCCGTCTGCATGTGATCATGTTAGGTTTTTCGCTGAGGGTGTAATAATAATACTACCTCCGTTTCTAATAATAAGAACTAGTTGACTAATTTGAAGAGATTAAGAAAAGAAGTTAAGTTAGTTATTTGTAATAAATAGGTATTATCTTTCCTAAAATATCCTTGCTAATTAAGTATATTGGCTAGAATTATCATTGTTAAAAGGACTACTTTGAAAAAAAAAATGAATAAATATGAGAGACAAAGTGAATTGGGATCTTATATTTAGGACAAAAAATAAATGTCAAACAAAGTCTTATATTTAGGATCGGAGGTAGTAGAATACTCCTCCGGTCCTAAATATAAGACCCTTATACTAGTGTGTGTGTATAAGAGTCTTATATTTAGAATCGAAGGAGTATAACATAAAAAATGGTTCATTTAATTGGTATGGGATTGACTCAACTCATAAAGATATGAGTTTAAATTTTACCTTAGTGCTTCTGTAAGCAAATCATTGAGTCTGTAGTCACATTCAAAAACCATGAAATTAAGTGTGAAGTTCAAACAAGCCGATCAAATGCATTATCAAGCTCATTCAATATTTTTTGGTTGGCTAATTATGTAAAATTTTCTTGGCATTTAAGCCATGAGGAAACAATTTTTTTTACTGTTTAAACATTATTTAGCACAGGGTATACAGTACTACCTCCGGTCCTAATTATAAGAACCAGTTGACTAATTTGAGAAGATTAAGGAAAGAAGTTGAGTTAGTTATTTGTCCTAAATAGGTGTTGTCTTTCCTAAAATATCTTTGCTAATCAAATACATTGACTAGAACTATCATTGTTAAAAAGGCTACTTTGAAAAACAAGTATAAATATGAGAGACAAAATAGATTAGAGTCTTATATTTAGGACCAAAATAAAAGTCAAACAGGGTCTTATATTAAGGACCGGAGGTAGTATTCTTGAAGATATATGTCTTTAGATTTAACTTTTTTAATAGATATCCTCTTTAAATCTGGTGGAAAAAAACCTATTTTTTGGGCAACCAATTTAAATTTGGAGATATCATATTCAAATAGATTTTTGTATGTTACATTTTATTAATAAATAATGGATAAATTGATGACAATGAAGTTAGTTGCATAAAAATTGTTATCCACACATACCCTTAAAAATTCAAAATTGAAAATTCAGCTGCGTGCCAGTTTTTTTTTTTTTTTTGGTGACATATTTAGCCAGTTTTTACGAGAAGTCTGGAATGATCCTGGCATAGCTTGACCCAAAAGCCCAAAAAAAACAAAAAAGGGGTCTTAGTATAGATGCCCGCCAAAAGAACCAGGCTACCTACACGCGCGAGAATCGAAAACCCTTAGCTCTATTCTCCGGAAGGGTCTGTTTTTGTTTTCGCTCCTTCCAATCTCCAGCGTCTCCTTCTTCGCGGCCCTTCCAAGATGAGTACTATGAAGTTTTGCCGCGAATGGTTGCTACCTCTTTTCCTTGCCTTCATTACGATGCTTTTACGACGTTGAACTGGGGCTTCCGTTTTCACATTATTTTCTTCATCTCTTGATTTCAGCAACAACATTCTGTATCCTAAAGAGGACAAGGAGCAGAAGATTCTTCTCTATGCTTGCCGTAACTGTGATCACCAGGTTCTTGTTTAGTTTAGCTTACTTCCGCTTATTTTTTTCCCCCCTTTCTCCCCTCTAACCTTCTTTCTTGTTTATGCTTTGCTGCAAAGTGTTAGACTTACTGAATAGACACTCTACTTACTTATCCAACGATTTTTAGGTTTACTCTGATGACATGTTTCTCTTGAAGCAATATGCCTCATCAGAGAAAGAACTTATGGGTTTCTGCTCTGATCATTTACTCTTTCTGATGTATTTTTGCTATTGAGGAGCTTAATTATGAATTTTGATTGAAGATTCTACCGATTAAATGTTTCTAGAATGCCAAGGCTCAGATGCCTTGGTTTGTTTAGTAATCTATATACGGAAGATTGCACTGTAGAAGATCTACATTTTTCTACACTGAGTTTGATGCGAACAAGATCATCTACTCAAATCTTTTTTATAAGATGGAATATAATTTTGAAATCTGATGTATTTTTTCTTGGTTGATTTAGTATATGAATAACACTTGTTTACATTCATTTTTGAGTTAAGGGACTGAATCATTGGACTTCTATGGAACTGCTGTTCTTATATTTTCACTCCGCGACTCACATTCCATTCTTCGTAATAGTCCATTTCCATTGTTTTCTACCCAAAGTGAAATGCAAATTGACTCATTATGTCCTTTTGAAATGTCAAGTCTTTTGGTATATGCGAATTGATTCAGCTTATAAAGTTCCTGCCATTATTTAATTTCCTAAAAACAAATTTCACCCTCACCAAAATATTTTTGGGTTTCAAAGAGGGTTAAAGGATGTCTTTTAACCTCCTTCTCAATATTGATAGAATGCATCAAAGTTATATATTTCTTTTTTGGTGATTAACCACCCATCGAATACTGCCAATTGAGCTAGCTTTGAGTTGGGTTGAGCTCCACTGAGGGGTAAGCTCTTCCAATGTAGTTTTTCTTCCATCCACGAAGCTCAAATTCAAGATTTTGCTTAAATTGTCTCAAGTTTCTCACCATTCAACCCAACTGCTGTTGATAAATTAGAATACTTTCATTAGCTTCATGTTCATTTTATTAGGTAAATGAAATCTAATTGTTTTGTAAGAAACGTGCATATGATATTCTTCAAACACGTTTTCTTAGTAGTTTGGGTTTTATAATTTTGATGCATGTCGATTCAAGGGCAAATTGTCCTCACTTTGTAATGCTGTAAGTTATTGGATGATTGAAAAACTCAGCCTTCTAGGTATGTTCTACTTATTTTGGTTAGTTAGTATTGTGTGGCTGCTCTGCCTCCATACTGTTTAAATGCCTAAAATCTTGGAGCCAATAAGTCCAAGATAGCCAGACAGATGCCTATGACTTGAGGCGCAGTGGTTTTTGCTTGGAATATATTTTGATTATAGCACTTTTCTGAACCCATGTTGGTTTTATTGCCAATGTTTCTGTTCTCATTTTTTTGCACTTCGATTATAAAGTTTGTTTAACACTGCTATGCTTTCTTATAAAAATTAATTGCTGATGTTTTTTTCATGGAGGAATTGCATCCAATTTCACATGAGTATCCTCAGCCACATACCTATTGATCATTTACTCGTCACTGTTCAGGAGGCTGCAGATAATAACTGTGTCTATAGAAATGAGATACATCATTCTGTTGGGGAGCGCACTCAAGTGCTGCAGGATGTAGCTGCAGATCCTACTCTTCCACGTACAAAGTCTGTTCGTTGTACTCAATGCAACCATGGAGAAGCTGTTTTTTTCCAGGTTAAATCTCTCTTCTGCCTGTGGGCAATTTTGTATTAAGATGGGAAGGGAGGGGAATGATAACAATTTGTGGTCAATCATGAATCTGCTCTTGGGAACAACATGAAACTGATAACTTCCTTAATATTAGCACTAAATGGTCTAATCTAAAGTTAGGAAAACCAGATTGTGGAGCGGAGGGAGAACAGTTATGTATGTCTTTTTTGTTGTTGCGGAAACACACAACACTGCTCAGGGTTAGACAGTGAAAGAAATAACTGTAACTCAAAGCTAAGCCTGAAGATACAGAATACGCTAAAATTTTCCTGACAGTGAAATAGCGTTTTCAATAACATTATACTTAATGAGTCGGAAGTGGGATGATACGATGTCATGACTGTTCAGTTATTGAACTGCTAAAAGTACTAGCTTACAAATTTAGTAGTAGTTGGATAGTAGTCAAATCAGTAATAATCAAATGTACGTATTATAAATTAAAATTAAGGGCGCACACCCACATATTATTTAAAATCTATTATAACAGATAAGAACATGATTTTTATTTGCAGTTGAATTTGATTCTCAAATGACGTAAAAAGACAATATCTTTTGAAAAGAGCATATATTTCAAAATCTTTTTTTTTTTTGGGGGGGGGGGGAGGGTTGCAGTTACGGTGTCTATCTGCATGATACGGGTAAAACGGATGATATGTGATTCGGGGTGATTTACTTACTTGATTTAGAACACAACATGCTTTAAGGACACTGGTTTCGCCATCTTTTTCTATGGCATTGACTCTGATTTTCACTTTTCTTTATAGATGTTTAGCTTCTAATTAGTTGAAGGAAGGTACATAAGATTTATTCCACTACCACCAATGCCCATAAGCTTGTCGTGTTAAACAGAAGTGGGAGAAATGCAATATTTTTTTGATTCTGCATATTCAAAACACGTATGTAGAAGTACTTTGGTTTTAACAAGTTTTTGAATTTATGCAGGCGACGGCCAGAGGGGAAGAAGGTATGACACTGTTTTTTTGTTTGCTGCAACCCAAACTGTGGCCACCGGTGGAGAGACTGAAAATTTTACTCTCTCAAATCGAGGTTGGAGATCTAACATATCACTCTTTTTTGTTATTATGTAAAACTTGGTTGATGAGAGGAAATTCATTCTCAAGTATTGGGGGTTTTTAACTGCACTTCCCAGAACAAATTGTTCAGCCTTATGATACTTTATCAACAAATATTGAAAACCTTCTATATGTGAATAATTTTATCGTAAATGCTAACTGAATCAAAATAGACAACAGATTAGTGATATAAGAAACTGAAGGTGGCATTCAGCAGAGGATATATGGCAAGAACTCTTTCTGCTCATCGTTCTTTTCTCTTCTCAAACTCCTAAGTTTTCAGAACTGGAGGAGGGAAGTTTAAAGATAAATATAAAATCGTACTAAGATACAAGGTACTGAAAGATCAGTTTAGCTAATAGAGAATATCATTAACTTAGTTACACAGAAGCATTTGATGAGATAGATTATCGCAAACGCAGCAGAGATTTTTTAGAGCCTTTTCTCTGACAAGCGAGTAGTACATGGGCTTTATTTATAATATACTCCTCCGGTCCTTATTATAAGACCCAATTTGATTTTTTATTTGGTCCTAATTATAAGACCCAATCCATTTTCTCTTTTATATTTATGCATTTTTTTCCAAGATAATCCTTTTAATAATAATAGTTTTAGCTAATATACTTAATTAGTAAGGATATTTTAGGAATAACAACACTTATTTATTATAAATAATCAATTTAACTTACTTTCTTAATCTCCTCAAATAAGTCAATTGAGTCTTATAATTAGAACCGGAGGAGTAGTTACTTTATGCACCTAGAGTAGTAAGTGGTATGCGATCACTTAATGAGGCTGGGAGCCTTGAGAACTCCATTACCATCGCCATGGAAATTGACGTTGGTGTTGTTGCTTAAACCAATAAGCTTTTGATTATCACCGTTGAGGAGAGCAGGTGAAGATGGTGGCGAGCCGCTATTCAGTATGTTGGGAATGGATTGACGTTGAGGCTCTACAGCATGTTTGCTCTGAGTATCACCACCATCTATGAAGTCGGCAAACCCTCGAACCAAATGTGCCATTAGGGAAACACGTTTATGCACAACTTCTTTTGGTCTTCCTTGCTGCACTGCGCACACTATCTTGTAAGGGAGTTGGCCTCTTCATTATATATAGAGGGGCAAAATCATGGATCTTCATTACATGTCATATGGCTTGAATACGAAGCTAAGTCCGCAAGTTGCCTCTTGGAAGCGAGATTCTGCAATTGATAAGGATAGAATTTTTTTGACCTGAATTGATAACGATAGATTCGTTCATATAGTTTTGCAATGGCGTATCAATGTGACAAGAAAAAGCATTGGACGATATATTGTTTTCGAAATATCTAGATATCGATGTTTCAAGCATATGCTGTGGCTAAACTGAATTCTATTTTTTTTGTTTTGTTCGAATGATTTGTATTGAACTGCTGATCAGCTTATAAATTTGAGTATTTCTTATGGGATGTGTTTCATCTAAGGTTGAAAAACTTGGTTAACATATTTTGATCAGAACTTAATAAACGTTCAAGACTTTAAGAAGTTATATGACGGGGAAAAAAGTCTATTTAAACAGTACATTTTAGAAGAATCAAAGGCGAATAAATCACCATAAGCGATGACTCTATATTATTTACACTATTGAATCGTCTTGTCGTTTTGCTTACAACATAAGCGATGACTTCATGTCGTTTTCGGAACCAAGACGATCAAATATTAATGGTCCCAACAAGCACGCGGAGCGTCTCACTTTATATCGCCATTATCAGATACGCACCTTCATACAAAATTTATAAAGATAAATTGCAGTATTTAATTTATTATTTAGTATTATCTTTTATTTTACTAAAACTACATAATATAGTCAAGAGGATTATTTATTTATAACTCAAAGTTTGAGCCTTTTTTTTTTTTAAGAAAAATGAAATTTAAAAGGATAGTCATATTTCAATGACAAAATAATCGATGGCTAAGAAGTAACTGCACAGAATAAACAAAGACATGCATCGATATTTTGGGTATTCACCTCGCGTCTTGGTGGCGACCAAGAATGAAAGGTGGGATTTCTGATTAAAAAAAAAAAAGAATGGTCGGAAATACTGCTCCCTTTATTTCTTATTATAAAATCCACTTAACTGTACGTGATTTAAGAAAATTGTTAAAATTAGTTAAAAATAATAAATATGTTATAAATATATTTTTTTCCCCCTCAAATATGCCCTTATTTATAAGTAGGTTGATGTGAGTGAGAAAAAAAGATAATGAGAGAGAGTATATTAATTAAAAATAAAATGGGTAAAAAATGTATTTATCGTTTAGACAAACCCAAAGAGATTTTATAAATAAGGACAAACAAATTTAAAAAATTGAATACTATAATAAGCAACGGGTTACTAATTAAGAAGGAAAATGATATATCAGAGATTATGAAAGTAGAGTGAGATAGATGATAAGAATCCATTGAATTAGTAAACATACATGGACTGCTCAAATTTTGTAGTGATTCATAATAAATATGGAAATGGCCGATAAGAACAGAAAGAGCTCTAAAATTGGAGATCGATAAGGCACAGCTCAGTCACTGCGAATACACACACACACACACACACACACACACACTCATATTACATCTTTAGCACTAACATAACATTCATGGCTTCTATCCCGGCTTCGCTGCTGCTCCTATTAGCACTCTTCACAGCAAATATTCGCATCACAGGTCATCATCTGATTTCCAGGTTATCTCCTTTGTAAGATTACTCTCTGCAACCATAAATATATGCGCGCGCGCGCAACTCAGATAGCACAGAAGTATATATATGTACAGCAGGCTCGGTTGCAATTAAAGCTACATAGAGTTGAAGAAAATCCTAGCTAGTCTGTGTGTTTGGCCTTTTGTAATATATAGCTACATAGAGCCAAGTGATCAGTAGTCACGAAAATTGTTCCAAGTGTATCATGGTTTTTACCGGGGTATATATGCACAGTGATTTCTCTTTTCTTTGAAACAGAATTGGATTAGAGCTAGAAATCAACATTGATATTACTTGCCTAATTAAAAACAAAACCTTGCTTGCTCAGAAGAAATTAGGTAAGAAGTCCATTTCCTCGGGTATTGATTGATTAAGCAAAAATCTATGGCAAAGCAGGTGGCCAAATAGGTGTTTGCTATGGCATGCTGGGCAATCATCTGCCATCTGCTCGTGAGGTTGTGGATCTTTACAAAGCCAACAACATTAAGCAAATGAGACTGTACGATCCCAACTAAGAAGCTCTGGAAGCTCTCAGAGGCTCCGCCATCGACCTCATGCTCGGCGTCCCAAACACCGACCTTTATTGGCTCGCCACCAACGCCGACAATGCCCGTCAGTGGGTTGAAACAGCGTTTCTAAATTTTACCCCTCCGTCAACATCAAATACATCGCCGTCGGCAATGAAGTGAACCCCGTCGACGGAGCCAACAGGCAGTACGCCCAGCACGTCCTTCCGGCGATCCAAAATGTGTACCAAGCCATACGTGCGAGAGGCCTTCATGAGAAGATCAAGGTCTCAACCGCCATTGACATGACCCTCATAGGAAACTCATATCCTCCATCTCAGGGTAGCTTCCGAGACGACGTCAGATCATACTTCGATCCTATCATAGGCTACTTGGTGTTCGCAAAAGCGCCCTTATTCGCCAATATACCCCCTTACTTCGCCTACAGTAGGAGCCGGCCTGGCGACATACCTCTGAATTATGCTTTGTTCACTGAACCAAGCGTGTTGGTTCAGGATGGTTCGAGAGGGTACCAGAATCTGTTCGATGCCATGTTGGATTCGTTGCATGCAGCTTTGGATGGTACGAGGATTGGACCGGTGAAAGTGGTTGTGTCGGAACATGCCACTGAGGAGAATGCTAAGACTTACTTGCAGAACTTGATTCCTCATGTTAACACAGGTACTCCTATGAGGCCTGAACCTGCGGAGACATATCTTTTCGCTATGTTCGATGAGAACAAGAAGGTGGGACAAGAGACGGAGAGACATTTTGGGCTCTTCTATCCCAACAAATTAAACAGAACAAGTATCCCTTTGGTTTTGGGGCATGAGTGCTCAATATATATATATATATATATATTATATATATAAAGACACACACACACACACTCAGTTAAATAGCTCTTACACACATAAAGAGCCAGGTAGTACTAGTTGGAACGTTTGCTCTAAAAGAACTAATATTCCGTTAACGGTGAGTAAAGACATGATCTAAGTACGGTGTAATTCTCTCCCCGTGAGATTTCGTTTACGAATAATAAGATATCTCTGTTTTTGTACGTCTTGCGTTATAATTTATCAAATATTTGTTTTCCTTGCAAGTTTATTTTTATATCTTGAAGTTCTAATTAATGTCTTCAATTTCTTATAAAGAATTGTAAGTGTGTTGCAATAAATTCGGTTACAATAATGAAAGCATCTAAGCGCGCACACACACATATATATATTATCATATTCAAAAATTAATAAAAATACTGTGAAAAGAAAGAATGAAATGGATGGTAGTTAAGTAAGTTAATTATATATCATCTATAGTTTAGTATAGTAGTGCTGGAGAATTTCAGTTTCGATTTTAAATTTCAATTTTCATGTGTTAAAAAGGTATAATGGACGAAATAAAGCTGATATTTGAACACGGTGTGTGATTAGAATAGGAGGGTCGGTTTTGCAGCTAATTGTGAGATGTGTGAAGCCTTTAGACAGAGATAGAATTAGTGAAAAGGGAAAATGATGAGTGATATGAATGAGATTTGGTATCCGAAGGATGAAACAGAGATGTTTCTGTCTGTCTGCATTTGGCGTATTTGTGCATCTTCCCTCTTTCACGCAGCAACGTCGTACCACCTTTAAGATACATACACACAGATATATATATATATATATATATATATTGAATGATTCGCTTCTTATACATGCTATTAATTGTGATCCTGAATATAAAGAGAATCGCTATAAAATCCTAAGAAATGGATGCAATTACTAAAAAATTTTAATAACAATAATGCGTTACTACCTCTGATCTTTAATATAAGAATTAATTTGACTTTCAATTTAGTTCTAAGTATAAGATCTTAATCTATTTTGTCTCTAATGTTTATTTATTTTTGTAAAATAATCTTTGTATTAGTTGTACATGTTAAATATTCTATTTCTGACTAATATACGTGATCAATAAAGATATTCTAGAAAAAACAACACTTATTTATTAAAAATAACTTAACAAATTTTCTTAATCCACTTAAATTAGTCAACTAGCTTTTATATTAAATACCAGAGGTAGTAATAACTTTCAAACCAATGTAGAGAATGACAATAGCCGCCTTATTATTGAGATTTTTTGGTAATTTTTCCTAGAATACACGACCGAATTAAAAAGAGCACTGTAATAATGGATGGCTTCCATGGAATGGGCCAATTGGAGTATTTAGAAGTGTAAATGACGACAAGTTTTTGCTCAATGGGTTATGAACATAATGGATGAATATTGGAGTATTGTAGCTGCAACTTGGAATCATACACATGTAGGAGGGAATGGAAGGTTTGGCACTACGTGTGGCTGCTGACAGGAGGAAGGAAGATATTTCAGTTTCACAAGTCAACTCTCATCCCATCAGGCTTATTCAATATTATGTTATACTACTTCTAGGACTTAATATAAAAATTTATTTGATTTTTATTTTAGTTCTAAATATAATATCTCAATCCACTTTCTCTCTCATATTTATCTATTTTTTTCTAAGGCAGTATTTGTAATAATAGTAATTCTGGTCAATACACTTAATTAGTAAGGATATTTTAAAAAAGACAACACTTATTTATTACAAATAACTAACTTAACAAGTTTCTCTTATTTACTCAAATTAGTCAAGAAACTCTTATATTAAGAACCAGAGATAATATAATGGTGGAAAACTCTTGCAAATTGCAACAATATTGATTCAACCATATACATCCAATTCAATTTAATGCTAAAATGACGAGGATCCCATTACCTTGTGACAACAGTGCCCTGTAACAATTTCATGGCTGCTTGCACTTTCAATATACATAATGGATATAGAAATCCTGAAAGCAAAAAAAAAAAAAATGATAATGTGTAATGTAAGTTCATGCTTAGTGTGAGTGGATTTAAGTCCATATGTGTGTGTGTGTGTGTGTGATAAAATAATTGGAAGGATTCATGAACATAGAGTTAGGATATGGCGTATCTCTTCTGTATATGTAAACGTCAAGATAAATTTACTGTTGTGCGCAAAGTGAAGCACTCTTATATATGTTTGCAAGCATTATTAAAATCTAGTTTGATTTTTGTAAATAAAGACAAGATAAATCAATCGGATCAATTGGAAATATCAAAGTGGGCTAATTTTTTCCCCCAGCCCTATCATTACAATAGTGGACTGACTTCTCGATTTTTCTTCGCCGTAATGCATTGCAATCCAATTGCACTGCCCGCGAAGCCTTTAGATATATGCATAGAAGAAATTTCTTTTTTATTTCATACTATTTAGTATGTTTTCTGGCGTTTATGTCCAGGAATCCCCACTTACACTTGAAGTTTTTATTATTTAGTATTGTAGATAAGAACTTTATAAAATATTAAATATAAATTATTTAAGTTTAACATGATGGTTGATAACGAAAGGTGAAAAAGAAGTGGAATGAGAGGCGAGTGGAGATGATCCACGCCAGAGACTAATGTAGCCAACGATGGGAAAGAGAGAGGAAGAAGGAAGGAAGGAAGAAAATATGACGAGTATTAACTGTTAATTAAGCTACAAGCCTATAACGATGTTCTTACTAATTGATGTGAGCCGCAAAATAATCATTAAATTAATAATTTTTTTCAAAGGATGTAACAGTTAAATACACATAGAGAATGTAATTAAAATAATGTTGGGGGTGGGCCATATCCATTGTCTATAAATAGAGAGAGTTAGAGATTTAGAGATGAGACAAAGCAAGTGATTGTGTAGTGATGATATCTTCAGACATTATGACTGGGAAGGCTGCCTTCATGGCTTCTCTACTCTTCCTATTCGCACTCTTCACCTCAAATCTTCGCATCACAGGTGATCCATCTCCCCCCACCTCTCATTAATATTCAGCCATCACTCTTTTATGATTCAGTTTTTGACAAGCAGGATATATCAGTCCGTAGATTTTGATACTTCTGACAAACCAATACTCTCTGAGCATTAGAAAGAAAACCTTTATCTTTAATTAGTTTTATATATGGACGTACTTTCATTTGTATCTGCTGCTTAACAAAAATCTTTCTATATGACATGCTTAGTTAATAATATGTTACGGTATCTGTTTTGGCCTGGCTAGTTACATTTTTGCAGAAGAGATAAGCAGCTACTTACTTTTTTTGATCCTTGTGTCATGAAATTGTTAAAAAGTACTCTATTCCAGGATACAAACACTACTCTACATTCTCTTTCCTTATAATTATAAATATAAATAGCCATCGACTTAATATAATTATCTTTCAAATCAAAACGTTTTTTTCCCACTCCAAAGGTTTGCAGTTAAAAAATGCCGGCCGACACAGACGAAATCAACTTTTCTTAAATAAATCATTATTCCCCATATGGATTACAAATTTAACACACACACAAACTTAATTCTACGTCAAGCAGATGCTCAGATCGGTGTTTGCTATGGCATGATGGGCAACAATCTGCCATCCCCACGCGAAGTTGTGAATCTTTACAGAGCCAACAACATCAAGCGAATGAGACTGTACGATCCCAACCAAGCAGCTCTTGAAGCTCTCAGAAACTCCGACATCGAGCTCATGCTCGGCGTCCCCAACGTCGACCTTCAGAGCCTAGCCAACAACGCCGATGCCGCCCGCCAATGGGTTCAACGCAATGTTCTCAACTACTACCCCTCCGTCAACATCAAATACATCGCCGTCGGCAACGAAGTGAACCCCGTCGGAGAGAACAGAGAGCATTCGCCGTACGTCCTTTGGGCGATCCGGAACGTGTACCGAGCCATAAGGGCGGGACGCCTTCACGACCAAATCAAGGTCTCAACCGCCATTAGCATGAGGCTTGTAGGGACCTCGTACCCTCCGTCGAAGGGTAGCTTCCGGGACGACGTCAGATCATACTTGGACCCTATCATACGTTATTTGGTCTCCGCAAACGCACCATTATTGGCTAATATATATCCTTACTTCGCCTATATCTATAGCGATGGTCGCATATCTCAGCAATATGCTCTGTTCACTGCTCCAAACGTGGTGGTACAGGACGGTTCGAGGGGGTACCAGAATCTGTTCGATGCCATGTTGGACTCGGTTCATGCCGCTTTGGATAACACGAGGATTGGGTATGTGAAGGTGGTCGTGGCGGAGAGTGGGTGGCCTTCTGATGGGGCGTTTGCGGCTACCTACGATAATGCGAGGACGTACCTGGACAATCTGATTCGACATGTCAACAGGGGCACTCCGATGAGGCCTGGACCTACAGAGACATATGTTTTTGCAATGTTCGATGAGAACCAGAAGAACCCAGAACTGGAGAAACATTTTGGGCTGTTTTATCCCAACATGCAGAAGAAGTACCCCTTTGGCTTTGGGGCGTAAAAGAGCTCTAAAATTGATGCACATATAATATATAACATGACGTTTCCTTAAAAGTGATGGTAGTTAATGAATAAGGTTTTGAGTATTGATATATGACAAATACTCCTACATGTGTAATTTCTTTTCTTTTTTTGGTCAACTACATGTGTAACTTCGAATGCGAATAAAAATGAAGTGTCTGCAGTTTGAATGTCTTTAATATATGAATATAATCCACGCAAAATCCCTTTTTTACACGGCAAGGGCGCCGATGATCGATTGAGTTAGAGAGATCCGGAGATGATCTGCATTCCTGTTTCCACATAGTTTATAATTAAATTTTGGTTTTAATCCCTATAGTTTCATAAGGAGTTGTTTGGCTATGAAAGAATAAATGTGTATGAATATGCTTGTGAATCGAAGTACGTAGGAAATAAGAATATGACCCATTCTCTGGCCAAGCATAATTTCATTTTCACGACTAAATGTTGAAGTGATGAGGCAGAGGCGTGTTTAAACTTGAGCAAATCTTCGCATCACAGGTCATCATCTTATTTCCAGGCTATCACTCTCTGCAACCATAAATATGTGTGTGTGTGTGCGCGCGCGCAACTCAGATAGCACAGAAGTAAATATATGTACAGCAGGCTCGGTTGCAATTAAAGCTACATAGAGTTACGTTGAAAAAAATCCTAGCTAGTCCGTGTGTTTGGCCTTTTGTAATATATGTGTGCGTGTGTGTGTGCGCGCATATATATATAGAGCCAAGTGATCAGTAGTCATGAAATTGTTCCAAGTAAATAACGGTTTTTACTGGGGTATATATGCATAGTGATTTCTCTTTTCTTTGAAATAGAATTAGATTAGAGCTAGAAATCAACATTGATATTACTGGCCTAATTAAAAACAAAAACTTGCTCATTCAGAAGAAATTACAAACATCATCCAGTGTTTGACATAATTAGGTAAGAAGTCCATTTCCTCAGGTAGTGATAGATTAAGCAAAAAATTGTGGCAGAGCAGGTGGCCAAATAGGTGTTTGCTATGGCATGCTGGGCAATAATCTGCCATCTGCTCGGGAGGTTGTGGATTTTTACAAAGCCAACAACGTTAAGCGAATGAGACTGCACGATCCCAACCAAGAAGCTCTTGAAGCTCTCAGAGACTCCGGCATCGACCTCATGCTCAGCGTCCCAAACACCGACCTTCACCAGCTCGCCACCAGTGCCGACGATGCCCGTCAATGGGTTGAAAACAGCGTTTCCAAATTCTACCCCTCCGTCAATATCAAATACATCGCCGTCGGCAATGAAGTAAACGCCGTCGACGGAGCCAACAGGCAGTACGCCCCGCACGTCCTTCCGACGATCCAAAATGTGTACCGAGTCATACGTGCGAGAGGCCTTCATGAGATCAAGGTCTCAACCTCCATTGACATGACCTCCATAAAAAACTCATATTACTACAAAAAAAAATTGACTTTCAGCGGCGATAAAAAGTCGCCGCTAAAAGTCCTGTCGCCGCTAAAAAAGATTGTCGCTGAAAATCTACTTTCAGCGGTGACTTTTTTTGTCGTCTCTGAAAGTCTTAGTTTCAACGGTAAATTTTCAGCGGCAACAACTGAAAGTCGTCACCTAGAGTCTTTTTTTTGGTAGTGTATCCTCCATCTCAGGGTAGCTTCCGAGACGAAGTCAGATCATACTTCGATGAGGGGTGAGTATTCAGTTTTTCGGTTCGGTTATCGGTGATAACCGAACTAACCGAATAACCGAATAGAGTATATTTTAAAAACCGAACCGAAACCGATTAACCGAACTAACCGAAACTGAATTAACCGAAAATTTCGGTTTGATTAACCGATTAACCGAAATATATAAATATGAAAAATGATTTTAAATTAAAAATAATAATAAAACACAATTACAACTATTAATTAATAAATATTTCATGATTCAATATGATTTATTATAATAATATTTATTATAACCATATTTATTGAATATAAATACATTTAAAAAGTTCACATATACTCACATATATATTTATTATAATAATATTTATTAAATAGAAATATATGATATATTTATTTCGGTTATTCGGTTATAACCGAAATTTTTTTTTACTAACCGAACCGAACACCGAAACCAATTGTTTAAAAAATAAAACCGAATATATAATCGAAAACCGAAATAACCGAACTGAAAAACCGAAATTAAGTTCGGTTCGGTTCGGTTCGGTTCTCGGTTACGGTTCGGTTTTGCTCACCCCTTTCGATCCTATCATAGGCTACTTGGTGCTCGCAAAGGCGCCCTTGTTCGCCAACCTTTACTTCGCCTATAGTAGGAGCCGGCCTGGCGACATACCTCTGAATTACGCTTCGTTCACTGAACCAAGTATGCTGGTTCAGGATGGTTCGAGAGGGTACCGGAATCTGTTTGATGCCATGTTGGAGTCGTTGCATGCAGCTTTGGATGGTACGAGTATTGGGCCGGTGAAAGTGGTTGTGTCGGAGAGTGGGTGGCCTTCCGCTGGTGCGGAACATGCCACTGAGGATAATGCCAGGACTTACCAGCAGAACTTGATTCCTCGTGTTAACAGAGGTACTCCTATGAGGCCTGAACCTGTGGAGACGTATCTTTTCGCTATGTTCGATGAGAATAAGAAGGTGGGACAAGAGACGGAGAGACATTTTGGGCTCTTCTATCCCAACAAACAGAACAAGTACCCCTTTGTTTTTGGGGCATAAGATTGCTCACATAATATTATAATATATATATAGAGAGAGAGAGACACACACACAGACACGCATGGACACACTCAGTTAAATAGCTCTTACATATTAAAGAGCCAGGTAGTACTATATATGTTTAGTTGAAACGTTTTCTCTGAAAAGAAGTAACATTCAGTTAACGGTGAGTAATGATATGTATGATACGAGTACGGTGCAGTCCGCTCTCTGTGAGATTTCGTTTACGAATGACGAAGATATCTCTGTTTGTACGTCTTGCGTTATAAGTTATCAAATATTTGTTTTCTTCCCAAGTTAATTTTTATATCTTGAAGTTCTAGTTAATGTCTTCAATTTCTCTTAAAAAAATTGCAAGTGTGTTGTAATAAATGCGGTTGCAAGATGCAAGCATCTAAGCAAATTATCATATTCAAAAATTAATAAAAATACTGTGAAAAGAAATAATGAAATGGATGGTATTTAAGTAAGTTAATTATGTATCCCATCCATAGTTTAGTGCAGTAGTGGTGGAGAATTTGAGTTTCGATTTTAAATTTCAATTTTCAAGTGTTAAGAAGGTATAATGGACGAAATAAAGCTGATACTTGAGCACGGTGTGCGATTAGAATAGGAGGGTAGGTTTTGCAGCTAATTGTGAGATGTGCGAAGCCTTTAGACAGAGACAGGATTGATGAAAAGGAAAAATGATGAGTGATATGAATTCGAATGAGATTTGGTATCCGAATGGTGAAACAGAGATGTCGCTGTCTGTCTGTATTTGGCGTATTTGTGTATCTTCCCTCTTTCACGCAGCAACGTGGCGCTACCTTCAAGATATACATATAAATATATATATTGTATTTATTTATTTGAATGATTCGCTTCTTATACATGCCATTAATCGTAATACTGAACAGAGAGAATCTTTGACAAAAAAAAAAAAGAGAGAATCGCTATAAAATCTCAAGAAGTAGATGCTCTTACTAAAAAATTCTAATAACAGCAAAGCAGTACTACCTCTAATTATTAATATAAAGGCTGTTTTGACTTTGAATTTAGTTTTAAATATAAGATCTCTGTTTACTTTGTCTCTCATATTTACTCAATTTTTTTAAATAGTCTTTGTATTAGTTGCACATATTAAAGATTTCATCAAATGATAGTTCTAACCAATTAATATACATTATTAGTAAGAGTATTTTAGGGAAGACAATACCTATTTATTACAAACAATTAATTTAACAATTTTTTGTTAACTAGTTTTTATATTAAAGATCTAAGATAGTAATAACTTTCAAACCAATACAGAGAATGACAATAGCCGCCTTATTCCTGAGACTTTTTTGATAATTCTCTCTAGAATACATGATAGAATTAAAAAGAGCACTAGAATAATAATAATGGATGACTTCCATGGAATGGGCCAATTGGAGCATTTAGAAGTATAAATGATGTCAAGTTTTTGCTCAATGGGTTATGAACATAATGGATGAATATTGGAGTATTGCTGCAACTTGCAATCATGCACATGTAGGAGGGAATGGAAGGTTTGGCCCTACGTGTGGCTCCTAACAAGAGGCAAGATATTTCAGTTTCACAAGTCAGCATATTCTTGAAACTCTCATCCCACCAGGCTTATTCAATATTATATTATACTATCTCTAATTCTTATTATAAGAGTTAATTTAACTTTTATTTTGATCCTAAATTTAAGATCATAATTCACATTATATTATTTTTCATATTTATCTATTTTTTTGCAAAGTAGTCCTTGTAATAATAGCAATTCTAGTCAATATACTTGATTAACAAGGATATTTTAGGAAAGACAACACCTATTTATTACAAATAACTAACTAAACAAATTTTTTAATCTACTCAAACTAGTTATCTAGCTCTTAGATTAAGGATCGGAGCTAGTATAATGGTGGAAAACTCTTGCAAAATTGCAACAATATTGATTCAACCATATACATCCTGTAACACTTCACATAATTATATCCATTTTATTGGATAAAATATTGCATGTAAAAGTCCATACATACTACTTCATCCCTTATTATAAGATCCTTTTAACTAAATTGCGTATTTTAAGAAAATAGTTAAAATTAGTTAAAAAGCAATTAATATGTAACAAATACAATTTTTCCCCAAATATACCCCTATATATAAATGGGTAGATGTGAGAGAGTAATAGTGAGATAAATAAAGAAAAAGAATATATTAAATACATTAAACTATGGATAAAATAGGTAATAATGTATTAAATATACAGACAAACTAAAAAAGGATCTTATAAAAAGGGATAAACCTATTCAAAAAATTAGATCTTATAATAAGGGATCGAGGGAGTACTTCTAGCTTTCAATACAAGTCGTAATTTTAAAATATTTTTTTGTCATAATTTAACACAATAAACTATTGAAATTTTATAATAATGATAAATAAAAATATAACATATAATATATTTAAGGAGTATAGAAGCCTGTACGCCTCACTCTATTGGTACCTTTCCTTGATTCCTACTAGATCTTTCACAAAATTGTTAATATAAGAAATGAGATCTAA